TTCCTCCAGCCCTCTTCAAATTCGGGGCACCTGCTCTTGTGGAGGATTTACACGAGTTACTAGTGAGACAGTGGGAGTAGGAAACTATCCCAACCGACTGCAGCCGCTCCATCATAGTCCCAATTTTCAAAGGAGGCTCACGATCGGAATGCGGCAGCCATAGAGGAATCAGTCTGATCTCCATCGCCTCCAAATTGCTTGCCTCTGTCATCCTTCACAGACTGACTGGCACTCGTGAAAGCCAGATTCGTGAAGAGCAAGCTGGATTTCGTCGAGGTCGTAGCTGCATTGACCACATCTTCACCTTGCGTCAGTTGTTGGAGCACGGTTACATATACTGGCGGCCCACCGTTGTCGTGTTCCTCGATATCAAAGGTGCATTCGATTCGGTGGATAGACATGCACTTTGGGACTGTCTACTCAGGAAAGGTGTACCTGAGATATATGTGAATATTATCCGAGCATTATATGCGCGTAGCTCGGGCAGAGTGAGGGCTTACGGCAAGTTGTCGTCGCCCTTTAATATCTCCAGCGGCGTGAGACATGGATGCCCGCTGTCACCTTTCCTCTTCAACTTCGCTATTGACGAAGTCATCGAAATCGCGTTTGCAGGACACGACTTAGAAGGTGTGGAGCTACTCCCAGGAGAACGACTTCTTGATTTAGAGTATGCTGATGATATTGCCCTGATCTGTGACAGCTCACAAACGTGCCAAGCTGCCCTGGACAGATTAGCACTAGCTGTCCGCCAATTCGGGCTTTGCTTCGCACCTTCGAAATGCAAAGCGTTTCTCCAAGATTGGTCTGGACCGCCTCCTACGCTGACCCTTGGTGGGGATCAGCTAGAAGTCGTTCAAAAATTCAACTACCCGGGAAGTTGTATCAGCGCCCGTGGGATTGAAGATGAAATCACGAATCGTATAGCAAAAGCTCGGGGCGCTTTTGCTAACCTTCGCCACTTGTGGCGCCGGCGCGACATCACTCTGGCCCTGAAGGGTAGAGTGTACAATGCAGCAATACGTTCGACCCTATTGTACGGTTGTGCAACCTGGCCGCTTAAAGCAGCGGACCTGAAGAGGCTAGTTACGTTCGACCACCGGTGCCTTCGTAATTTAGCTCACATCTGTTGGGAACACCGCGTGAGCAACGAGCGTGTTCGACGCCTTGTTTATGGCACAGGAAAAGGAAATGAACCGCTCAGCACCGTTATTTCGCGCATCAGGCTCCGATGGCCCGGCCACGTGTTACGCATGCCAGCTCACCAACCCCCGCGACGTGCGTTGTTTGCGCGCCGGGGGTGTGAATGGAAGAAGAGGAGGGGTGGCCAAGCGATGACTTGCTCGAGAAGAATGAAGGTCCTCACTTCGAAGCTGGCCTCGGTTGGAGCGTCTCGGCTCCGTGGTTGGGGTCCGAAAGACGATGAACACGTTTGGTTGGACACACTTGCTGATATGGCAAGGAGCCGACCTCAGTGGCGTTCGTGCTGTGCGTTTCTTTGTCCCACCCCATCCCTCTTAGTCTCCCCCTCCAACCACGAGCTCATTACTTAGCCTTATATAAGTTTGCATAATAATTTTTTTTGGTGCATAGCAACCGGCTGGTAGCTTACCGGAACGATGCCCATCCGTTACCGGTAGCTCAGCCAGCTTTCACCAGTTGTCTTTTCTCTCCTTTTTTTCTTTGTACTGCGGCACAGTAGCTGAGGTGTTCCCCACCTCTAGCTAACGTGTATGATGATGATGATGATGATGATGATGATGATGATGATGATGATGAGGAGGAGGAGGAGGAGGAGGAGGAGGAGGAGGAGGAGGACAAAGTAACTTATCAACAGTGCCTAGTCAAAAATTTCCTGGCAAACAACAAACTGCTACATAGACATGTCAACAATCAAGGTAAAGTGAAGCATGGCATCCCTCCACTTTTTACGACAGGCGGTAGAGTACAAGGCCCCGAAGAAACAGCTAATGCCCCGAGGCCACAATACGCCTCAATTTTCGAACTCTCAGCCTCTACCTGTCCCATAATGTCATACACATTACCGACTCCATTGTTTACACATGTAATTTTCAACCCAACAATTTCGCTAAGGAAGTTACTCTCACTGCGCGATCATGGCTCTTTGGGATCAGACGACATCCGCCCGAAAGCACTAAAGGCTGCGGACACCAAGCTGGCTGAACCACTGTCCCAGTCCTTCCAAAGCTGCTTTGATGAAGGGCAAGTCTACACCATGTGGAAGCGTGGCATTATCACCACAATTTTTAATGGCGGTAGCCCTTTCGGATTCTGCGAATTACCGTCCAGGGAGTCTACTCCCTGTGCTGGCGATGGTGATGGAAGCGGTCGTCGCTGAAGCTTTAATGGACTACCTGGAAAAATGCAACATCCTGGTACTGGAGCAGCATGGCTTCCGTCAACACCGGTCATGCACCACCAACCTGCTGATTGCACGATGTAGTTGGACGGAAGTGGCTGATGATGGGGTAGGAGTTGACGTCATCTATTTGGACTTCTCCAAAGCTTTCGACCGCCTTGATCACAGCATCTTACTTCACAGGCTACAGAACTACGGAATCGGAGATTTTGTTCTTGGTTATATTGGCAGCTTCCTTTACCAACGAAAGCTTCAAGTACGTGTTAGGGGATCACTTTCTAACCCGACTGAGGTGGAAAATGGTGTCCCACATGGCTCAGTGCTGGGACCGCGCGTATTTCTGGTGTTTATCAACGACCTCGCAAAACTTTTCTCCTCAGATTTCCTGCTTTTCGCCATTGACGTCAAGATATGACGGGTGATTAGTAACAATGCATATCACGAGCTACTGCAACATGACCTGGATTACATTTATGAATGGTCAAAGAGGAACCTCCTTCGGTTGAACATAGCTAAGTGCAAGTTGATCCATCTTCGTCACTAACCGGGGAGCGCTTACCAGCTTGGAGGCCACACTTTGCAGTAGGCCTTTCAGAAGCGTGACCGGGGTGTACTGGTTCAGGAAGACCTCGGGTGTTCAAAACAAGCAGAGAATGCGACGAGAACCGGCAATCAACACTTCGGCCTGCTTCGCAGAGCGTTCGGTCGGTTTGAACTCTCAAGCTTCCCCCAAATGCTGAGGGATTTCATAATGGTTTACCAGATTCTAAAGAACCCAAACCACATGTGCCGTCCACTGCTGGAATCGAACCACAACGCTAACATATATATATATATATATATATATATATATATATATATATATATATATATATATATATATTATGACAAGGTGCCTACCTGTCTATTACCCACTACCTCGTCCATACTGGCTCCAGGAGACAGTTGGTCGTTGTAGGAGGGGACGGGGTGCACTGTTCTTGTGGCCGTGTTAGGCTCGAAAAGTGGTTCCATGCACGCAGTGTGGAGCGGCCCACGGTCCAGCCACCGCCTTGTGTGCACTTGATTCTCCCAATACAGCGTGCTTGTGTTTGCCTATGAAGGAGTGTGGGCCGGCTCCGTTGATGAAACGTGGCTTCCATCCACATGCCTCCCGGTCTTATTCCTTCGAGTTTACACTGGATATGGGGTGTGTGGTTGGAGCTGTGGGTGGTACAGCGCAGCACCACCCATGGTCCCTCTGTAGGCGCAGGCGTCCTGTGGCTTGCCACAGTGACAGGCAAATGCGAAACCGGATGCCGCCAACCATATATATATATATATATATATATATATATATATATGCCATAAAAAGTTCTTTTCCCTCCGCGTGTGCCAGCTTTGGAACGCCCTCCCTAGTTATCTTGCCTCTGCTCCCAATCTGACGATATTTTAAAAGACCAGTTGACGATACATTGTCTCATTGTATTTCATTTCATAACTTGCTAGTCAGAGACTACAAAACTCAATCAAACGGTGTCTTAACAAACTCCCAACCCAAGTGATTCATGGATTTATACATCCAATAAGCAAACATCGCCGCTATTCTACATGAGTCTATGGTGAGTCCACCAAAACGCTTTTCACTTTATCATGCAAGTTAATTTTCGCAATAATTTCCATCCCACGGGACTTGTTAAGCATTGCATTTTTACCCGTAATACACCATTGTTCCATCGTACGCTCCACAGTCACCCATTGAAGCTGCACAAACCGTGGTCTGATGGGATTAGGACGGAAACTCGTCTATTGCGCCGTTATAAAGCGCTGGAATTCACCTACAGATCAGGTGGGTAGGGAACCTACAGTTAAGGGTTCTGCGTGTCAGCTCGATGCCCTTGGGTGAAAACACCAAACTTTCCTTTTTCCTAACTGACTCCTCAGTCTTCGGTACCATTTTTAATGGATCAAATATCTTAGTACTATTTGTTTAGCTCTTTGCTTGCCCAATGATTTTACTGATTCCCTTTCCTATTTCACGTAACCTGTCCAGAAGGGACTGCTAGGGTAGGATACGTGAGTACTAATTTGTTGGACAGGGTGTGTTACGGTCTTTGTTTTAGGTCCATCTGTATTTCAATTCCGTTAAGTTCTGGTTCAACGACCCACTGAAGAAGGTACCTTCACGGGATGATCCTATCGTTCCAATCCTACTTGAATCATGCGGTTGGAACCATCTAGAAATGTCTAATTAAGTTAGCACTCCGGGATGTGTGACCACGAATGGGTCGAACCTATTTTGTCTTTAACCCATTGTTGACTAGGTGCAACTGGGTATTGATTCGATCTTGAATTTTGTGAATACTGGGACGGATGTAAGGTACATGGTGCTTTACTGAGGCAATATCCAGCATTTCTCAGGTCCACCTCAACCGAAGCACCTGTACTGATCGGTAACGGTAGACTGATAAAATGCGAATTCCACATCTGGTTGTTCCCTAGATGATGGCATTCTGTGGCCTAATCGACTCACTGTATCGTACTTTCTGGTACTACTTTAACTTGCTAGTAGCTTGATTAAAATAAAAACTTGGCATCCATTGAATGTGATAGCCAATCAAACCTGAGATTTACATAGCCAATGAAACGACGCCACCGATGGTTTATTATGGCACGTTCACTCGCCGCAATCTAGCTCTGCAGTTGTCGATCACTGATGGCTCTTCCTCCTGGTGTGAACGGTCCTATTCATGTCTGCCGACGCTTGTTCGGGGAAGTCACCTGTAGCAAAGTACAACAAACTTTAGAGGCTATTATCCGCAAGGATACGGAACGTTTCACCAAGATTTGGAACTTTCCCCTCATCGCTCGAGGAGAAGATCCAAGGCAACCTTTGTCCCACAAAAATCAAGACGCCGTTACTGAGGTTAGGAACACTGATGCACTTGGTGTGCCCCAGATGAATTGGCAACTCATTCAACCCGAGGCCTCCTTCTATACAACTCCACCTCGCCGACTGAAAGCGTATCGTCGACTAACCCCATCTGTGGCACGGAAAACTCAAATGGAACTCTTGAATCTTCGAAACGGCTTTAATCGACATCCAGTGAACGATGAAGTCGTGAGGCAGTTGCATCCGGCTGAGGAAAACACAGAAGAGAAACAAAACACTGCTGTTGAACTTAATCAGCCACTTCGAAACGCAGACGTCCCGCCATGCTCCGTCGCTGCCTCCGCGAAACCAAACACACCTCGAACTCCGATACTCGTACGAACATTAGGCCCTGATGGCTGCTTGCATTCTCCATACTTGGGTCAAGTAATGGTTTCTGGAACACTCAATCCTGAACCCTCTGCAGCTGCTCCTACTTCAACAGCGACCAGGCACTGTCTTACTTTGGTCCGAGGTCCACGTTATTCGGAACAATCACATAAACGAGGCTCTGCCAAAGTGACTGGTAAGTTCGGTGATTGTTTTATCGCTCATTTCGTCCGTGTCTTTCCTAACGATATGCGCATTTTTTAAAAACAAGTAATTTTTACACGTGAACTAATCAGTTGCACTGTCGGTGTTGCTCTTTAACCCCCTTAGGACATTGTTCATCGGTTCCAAGCGCAAGTATATATGAAAAAATTACTCGTAGCTTGACTGACCACCAAATGATGCACTCAAATCAAGTTGTCCGTATTATCTTCGCCTATGGTTACTTGTATATTTTCCTCTGTTCAAGAGTATGCATGTAAAACGCCACTGGCTCCCGCCGTTTTTCTGGCTGTCCTCCTTTCTGCTTATACTAATACATCACTCCATGTGTACGCACATTAAGCAACCGGTGGCTTTCAGCACAGAGCCATATTGTCGCACCAGTCTGAGTTAACCGAACCACGCTGAAATTCTCGTCTCTTAAAGAAATTGAAAATATTGCAACAGATATCTCAATGACCCAATGTCATGACAAATGTTGGTAGCGCCCACGAACGGTGAACCTCTTTCCTGTTTTTAACCAAACGTATGATGAACAGGATTAGCACACACACCCCTCATGCTTGGACAAGGTGCTGAGAGAATATGAGCTGTTTTGTTCACCTGATTGTTTTCTGCTTAGTTAATTTCAGTATTTCGTTGTTATTTTGCTTATACTGCTCTTTAAACTCAAAACAGTCAGGAATCAATCTTTTCTTTATCTTAGTGCATCACTGACCTGTTGATATGCAAATAAATTGCTAATGGCTTCATATTTTGCTTCGTGCATCGGTTCCAGCTCGATGCCACGACTTTTCCAATCTATTCAAATTTCACCATGGACCTGTTTTTCTCTTTCCAGATTACTTTAAGATTCGCAAACGATTGCGAACTTCCTTGAAGTAGCACAACGCAGTCGCCATTGTAGCGTCGACGGTAAGTTTACCATCAACGAACTCGTGGCATATTAATAGTAAATATTTCGTATTATGTGTATTACGTGCGTATCATTAGCACTTAGCTGGAGGTCTCACTAGGCCCAGTGTCCTAGAGTAAACAGACTGATTTGCTTTTTGCATGTGCCAGAGTACTCACCTTTCAAAATAAGGAACATCTGTATTAGGCGACACTGACGGTAGATTCTTTCCGTTTTTAGCATAAATCACTTCTGACCAGCGAGAACCGGATGCGCCTTATTTGTTCATTAGCTCCCTATCCAGCACTTAACTTCTCAGCTGCCATATACAGCAGTCCATTTGACAGCAACCCCAACTGTTTTTTCTCAGAAACATCCTCGTGCCACCTTTAAAGAAAATGATTGATGTTCCAAATGCTTAGCAAATACATCACGCACGGTCGTCTGACCTAGTTCCCTTGATGTATCACAAAAGAGCTGCGTTATTTATCTCGACCTCTATCTGTTCGTGTCTTATGCCTCATTCAAACGCCTCGGTTCTGTCAGCAAGTGCGTAGTGTCCCTATCCCACATTCCCGTCCAGGCTTCACCCTCGTGGAATGCCGTATGGTGGATGCCACGTGCGTTGACTCACTCGGGTCTGTCTATCAGACCAGATCTCTCCTCCCGCCTTACAGGCACGTGATTATTTGGGCGCGTGTTAGACGGAGAAAACAATGACGGAAACGCGCGCGCATGTGTGCGTCCGGAATGCCTTTACCCCCTCTTCTCATTTCTTACCTCCGCTACCCCACCCGAGTGCGTCGCCCCAGTGGACCGAACCTCATCCACTATCCTGCTGGGCGAGGGCACATCCGGTTTGCGTCTTAATTAAGTGCACCGTAGCTTACCCCAGCCGTCTCCCTCATTGTTCACCGCTCCACCCTAGCCGAGCTTGCTTCCACTCTTGACCTCGTTATGCATGCAAGCTCGCTAGCTTTGCGCGGCATAAATTTAATTAAAGGGCTCTCGGCTGGCTTAGATAGACAGTCAACTGCTGGTTGCATTTCCTAATCTTGCTTCATCCCCTTTCCATATGCTGACTCATTTACGTCCGTGCCATGGGGTTTTAGAACGAGCAAGAGCGTTACTCACAGCCCATTGTGTGTCAGTCCAACCGAAGTGGAGCGCGGGCACTTTCAAAGGGACCGTCTGGTGAAAAGAGTTCGCTCTGCGTTTCTGCTTGCTCCGTCGTCGATTGGTGTTCGGAGCTTGTGAGGATAGTCTGCGTTGCTTATCTCAAAACGATGCCTATTGAATTTGAACATGAGAACCGTAGACCGCAATAAAGCGTTGACATCAGCTACAGACCCCACCTATCGACCTCATCAAGTATGTGCAGTTTGACCTGGATTCGCAGCGGTGACTTCAGGTCTGCCAACTACATGCCTTAACAACGCCACTGCTCTAATTTAGTGAGTAACGCTTACGACGAACAATGGATCTACATTCTCCGCTTACAGTAGTCTTTTACGTTCGTCTAACCACCTGCGCTCTCTCAGTTGATCAGCAATACCGGTAGGAATTGCAGTTTAGTATCAGGGCTTGGTCAATGTCGCATATGAAGCCCGGATGTTAATTGTGATTTTAGTTGCTATGTCCAACCGATGTTTCGCTCGCGAGCATCTCAGTCGAATCTGATGTCCAACCGGACATGTCCTCGGCAGGTGGGGGCATCTAATTGTCACTAAGGCCCAGATTTCGATGACGGCCCTCATAAGTGTGACCCTCAGTTTAGCCTTGGAAACTGGGAGGTCGTGATAAACGAATGTAGCTCGTCTGATTTGGCACAGGATACAGGAAAAAGTGAATATTGTTTATACTTGAGTACCCCGATAGTGATTCATAATTCGAAGACAAAAGATTGCCGTAGTTCTCACTCTGCTTTTCCTTTTATTTTTTTTCTTTATCCTTCAGGAGCCGCGGAGGTACTAGCATTTACGTTGGTTGCGCGACCATGTTTTGTCCAGCTTGCTGCGTCCGTTATCGATTGTACTGGTTGCTGTCGTTCCGTTCCGTTCCGTTCCGTTGGCCACTTGGCTGTGACGTTGTCCCAACCAAACCAGCCCATCCCACTTGCTGACGGACACGACGTAGATTTCCATCCCCATCCTATCTCCCTGTGACATTTTACTCCCGTTGTTTATTCCATCCAACCCCACCACCATAACTGTCGTGTTCGTTCAGCAGTTATTTTTGTCTAAACAACCAGATGCCCTTCCTTATATACCTATAAACATATACACGCCTCATGGTTGTATTGTCTGGTAATCGTGCTGACGGGTTGGCGGTGCCAAGCCGTTTTGAATGGTGGCTTTCAATCGATTGTACATCGATTTGCGACCCGGTGCCGTACAAGTGACTGGTAGACGGAAGCGAGACAGCGCGCATGGATTTTTGTTATCTATCCTTAACCCACACCGTGTTTTAGAAATGCGAAAGGGTTTGTATGGTACTCGGACAGTGTTTCCAACGGTGGCTAGTCAGAATACTTGTAACGGTCGGCAGTTCAGCGCTTCGCATACCCATGGAGAAGTGTAGTACACGGAATCCATTACATCTTAAATGGATACAAAAATAGGCAGAAAATGTGTGTCTACCTTCCGCATGATTTGAACTGTGATTCCTAAGATGTGTTCACTGAGGAAGCCTGGCTAATTGTACGAACCATATCAAGCTACGCCCATCACAATCGTTAGTTCGGTGACGGCGGGCTAACTGCTCTTGCGCTGTTGGATGCGATCATCGATCGTAGGTTTGATCACCCTACACAATGGGCTCTGCTGTGGTCCAGAAGGCAGCTAGGGGCACGATGGGCAGTCGGGTGTTAATAGTTTGCATTAAGAGTGGAACATACTGGATGTAGAGACACCAAACTCTCGTTTGGGGTGTAAATAAGTTGGCCGTTCTTCCGCCGTGTACAATCGGATCCAGATCATTCACACAACGCAGTCGTCCCACCAGTGTAAGAAATTGCTGAACTCGGGTGCAACAAAGCCACATTTTTGACTGGCGCTAAAGTGAAATTGGTGCTTCTTAACTCAATTCAGCTCATCCCTCTTTACAGTGATGTTGTAGCCTGTGAAATAGGCTAGTATTCGCTAGTACATGTGAATTACTGTTTTGAAAGAAGACTATCTGAGATCTACTCGGGATGTTTGATTCCACCTTATGGTGGGAAACATTTGTACGAGACTACCGATCAATATTTTGGTAAGTGTATTTATAACTGGACTGTAGGAGGGTGCGATACTCTGTTAGAGGCGGCCTCAAACGCAACACTTGAAACATGCTGCTTTTTAGTCTGTTTGAACAAGCAGCAGTGAATTGACCACAGTTTGCATCTCAAGCAAATGGTCACTAACTGTTCAACTGTAAGTAGGCCAACTTCCCGAGAAGTGCTTATAAATGTGTAATCATTAGGTCATCTGTGGTATTGAAGAACCACTGTCAATAGGCACCGAAAAGGTGACCTACGAAAGACAACGCCGACTGTCATCACTTCCTTCCGCTGCCATCCACTAGCAGAACAGTGAATATGCATTCTAAACAGCTAATTCTACTCGGAAGTAATGGTGATGAGGCCGTTGGATGGTTCATACGAGTCATCTGAAGACAAGTGAAGCTACCTGGTAGACTGGAATCTTCGATGGGCTTCTCCATCTCAAACACGTCATTCATTATCGATAATTCACTGTGAATTCGATAGGAAGCTAGCCTGCACTCCAAACGTCGCGCTTTTATCCATCAATCGGGATGAACGGAGGCAATGAACTGCTGTTGCAATAGAAACAAACTCAAAGTGACAACTACTGCTGGATCCGTTGACTACTAATGCGAGCATATGAGCAAGGTATTTCGAATCGGAACGACCTAGTCATCATCCATATTCGCTAGCTGCCGAAGCATATACACTTATAACACAGGTCGCTTTTCTATGCGTTTCAGATTTGTCGTTCTTTTTAGTCAAGTGTGTATGTCAATTCTAAGCAGCGTAAACTGTTCAGGGTCATTGAGTATTTTTCCGTCCGTACTGCTCGAACAGGTGCCCACACTTGTCAAGCCGTGGATCAGTACCGAAATTCGGTTGGATTATATTCTGTCACAAATATTTGGATTGCAAATCCGGGTCCTGCCGCTCTATTCATGTACTCCAGCGTATAGATCCGTTCATGTTCGCCTTAAGCGAGTCGAGAATGGATCCTCACGAGAGATAAATATAATAAGCCTTCACAAGCCGTCGAATTTACCTTTGATAGCTGATTGTCTTCGGTTGTGAGATGTATGCCTTCTGCTTGATCACAACTAGATGGCACCGGTTCACCGAGTTACTACATCGAAACAGCAAATCTACATCCCCTCCGCATTCGGAAACAGGCAGTTTTCATGCATGAAACAGTGCACTAGATGCACTCTTGATTATTCGTCCTCACAATAATTTGCTGTGAGATGAATGTAATCGATGTGGGCCCTTAGTAGTCCAGCAGACAATGTGAGAGATGATGATAGGAGCTTATATTTTACAACTCATCCGCTTGGCTCGTGAACGGGTAGGTATGTTTTTTGAGCACAACCCACGTCGGAAGATTGGGCCACAATTTGAGAGGCAACACACTGTCTGGTTCACAGATTTTTCTAGGCTAACACCGTCTCTTCTAGGGTTGCTGTACACTGCATGCGAATCACGGAAACGACCGTGGTGCTTTTGCGCCTCAGTACGGGAGTCTACCGTCACCGAAGAAATCACAGTTAGCTGGTTGTACGACAAATACTTTCGACGAATATATTACCTCGTTCATTTTGAACAACCTGTTTTGCTGTTCTCCCGGCTCGTATTGTTGGTATGTCGTATGGTAGGATGGCACCTTTGCTTCCTCATGCAACCGAATGCATTAGTTGAGAAGCCAGTTTTTGCATTTCGTGAAACTAGCCACACACTGAGTGAGTAGGTGCTTCCCCTTCATTCCTTTACCTAACCTTTCCTTAAAGAAATGTATGCTGTTGAAAGTGATTGTCATAGTCCAGGGTTATTAGATTGTCGTTAACATCGAGTTTTATAGGGTCCCTTCAGCTGCGATGAAGCTGTGTCGAGCCACCGTGTGCTAGGCATAGGTTGTTGCAAGTTATCTTGACTGATAAGACATGAAGAGAACGCCGAAGAAGAACTGAGCATGTCTCTAGCTCGCTAGCTGGCCAATCGGATGACACACGAAGGAGTTAGTGGCTTTATTTCGCCACGAAATAGCTCTGTGAATTGATTCGAAAGGAGAACATGCAGTCAAACGGGTGGTTGGTCGCGTGAGAGCACCTAGGGTGGTTTGATCCCAGCAGTGTGTATTACAGGAACACAGAGGGTCTGACACAATGGAGACTCCGGTAGCACCAGCTGGGAGGACGGGGAACCGACCGAGCGTATGTGACATGCGTGTATCAAGTTGTGAGTTGGATAAACTAACACCTTGGTTTAGATGCAACTTAAGGTGGTGCGCGCAAATGCTGTGTTTTTAAATTTATTCGACACCTACTGAAATCGTCGTTCTACCGCTGTTCCATCTGAAACGTAATCAGCCATCCCAATCCACACAACCGTCATGTTCAGTCCGGATTGCCATACTCTTAATCTCAATCGCATTCAGTATAAATCCTGAAATAAATGCGGCCACTGGAACTAAACTCGTGGCGACGACACGCTGGTATCATCAGTTTCCAACTTTGCACTCTACATGTAGGTTGCTCGACACCAAAGATTACCATAAACCGTTGGGAACTCCATTCGAGCTGGGCCTGGTTACACAGGGATCAGGGCGTTCGACAACATCCGCCCATGAGGTAGCTACCAAAAATGAAACGATTCATGGACTACAACACTAAGAGCGTGCATCATTTGGGATGTCTCCGACCCGACAATGTTCTTCTTTGGATGTAAACTTGTTAGGCCTAATAGACGTAGTTGGAGGTTAAACTGCCAAAGTGTCGTATCACCGGCTCAGCTCCACATGAAGGGTCAATAAAGTGCTCCATTAGTCAGGTGAACAAGATGAAGGTAACCATAGATGAATCGGGATTTGATTAAGAATCTTTGCAATGCGTGCGAATCCTGACCGACCTCAATCGACTGAAGCCACACTGAAGAGATGCATAGGTTCACTATCACGGGACCGAATGGGAGTTCATGATTTCAGTAGGTATTGGATACAACCAGATTTCATAGGTTTTTATTGTGGCATAAGCTGTTGTGTGTTTGAGCCCCCAGTGATACGGTCAATTCAATACAATGGACATTTTCGACGGCGTTGCTAGCTCACTGACGATTTGCATATGGAGTGGCAGCGCATCGTCAGAAGAAGACATAAGTTGCTCATTTCTCGGTCAGTAACGCGGTTACTGTGCGAAATTCACGTCATATTGAGAGGTTATTTATTTTATTCCCATATCGGGCTTTTAAACACTACATGAGGGACAAAATCAAGTACAATATTGAAAAATCATTTACTTTATGTTTCCCTACATTGTGTGGATATGACTCAAAAGTAAGAATATGTCCCCCATCTAGCAATGCATCCATCCGCTGGCCTTAAACGGAATTGGACGACAACATCTGTTTTCTGTCATCTGGGGATTTTGATCGTGAGGTGGTCGGTCTTCATGCACCTCATCCCCTAAGACCAATGTGGCCCTTTTATTATACGGCTGTTTACTAATTCGTCACATTCTACTGATTTCCCTCAGTTCGGTTGACCTACCACCTTCTTACATAGTTTGTATCCGATGGATACAGTTAAATCCGGAAAAATTCGATAACCAACTAAGAAACTACCGGCTGTCATCCAGAACTCATAAATGTCGGCCCATGGACTACTTTCGAGTTTAGCGCAGCAACACATCCACTACCGGATGCCGTTCTCATGTACTTGCCTACATACGTGCCTACGTGTTTGAATTTCTTCACGCTGCAAACAATACGGAGTAGTTATCTACGAAACTGCTGCTCTCAAGTCAGGCTAGCTCAAGATGGTTTCAGTCCCCAGCACCATCATGCTTCTCAACTTGATTCGTCAGATTGTTTCGTCTAGCTCAAGTTACTATTGGAGTCGAAGAGAAATAGCAAGAAAAATATTTTCCAACCATCCAGCCGCAGTTCAACTGTAGCCAGACTGGTTGACGTTCACTAACATCCGTCATCCGAAGCATACCCCACTGTCTGCCCCAGCATCAGACCCGTCTCACCATTGTGGGAATCGGTATTCCATT